CATCTCCTGTTTTATTTTCCCTACGTCACCTCTTACGACACCCTCGGGACCATATGGGGTAGTGGATATTCTTACACCGCCGCTACCCGGTCCCCCAATGATGGACAATCTATGAGAGAGGCCCATGTTCAGCTGTGGACTTTTATTGGCTGTAATGGATGGATGAATGGATTTATTTATCCTTTATTACAATCTTCAACTAGGGTTTACAAAGTGCGGACGCATTGTCACAGGACACAGGACATTAACCTGTGCAATTCTCTACCAGTCAACCGTGTAAATGTTATATAGTCAACGTGTAATAAATATAACCGTGTGTTTTAACCGGAGACCCTTTTTACTGGCAAAGAGGCATTCCATCTTAGTCCTCACGGGTAACAACGCATCTGCATCTTTTTTTTTATAGGATTAAGGTGACAAACGAGCCAACAGTCCACCTGAAGGTAAGTGGTTGCTGTGGCCCATAGACATCTACAAGATTCTTCGATTACGAATCAAAAATGCAGATGCGTTGTTACCCGTGAGGACTAAGATAGAATGCCTCTTGTCCAGTAAAAAGGGTCTCCGGTTCTCTACACTCACCATACGAAACACAGCAGCGTTAAGCTACTATTTTACGCTGGTATTCTGTGAGAGCGTGGTCCTTCCCCGGTCGAGCCGACCCATTCGTGCTATCTTGATGCTTTATTGAGGATAGATGTATGTATACGTACAAATCTTGATGCTTTATTGAGGATAGATGTAGATGTCTATGGGTCACAGTAACCACTTACCATCAGGTGGACTGTGTGCTCGTTTGTCACCCTATCCCATTAAAAAATATATATATAATAAGCAAATAATTTTACTTAAAGGCAAGTTTACTTTTAATTTGATGACGAATAGAACTGCTGTCATGTAATTTCTAAAAGTAATTTTTCGGATCATGAAATAAATCAAACCGATCCAAAAGTGAACAAATAAGAGTCTGTTAGAAATTCCTTTAAATAGGTAATATAGATCAAATATAATATTCCTTATTATCTATATTCGAGATTTTTCCAGATGAATTTCTTGATGAAGAATTGATGCTATATTATATACACAGTTAAGTTTGTTCTTTATTTCGACATAGGTGCCTATTGAATAGCACTTTTTTTAAACGGGTTTTATCGCGTTTAATTTACTTATTTTTAATTGCCGACGTTTCGGGTGCTTTGCAGCACTATTATCATGGTTCATTCATGGACTGAGTTCATTGACGTCTCGATGTCAAAGTTAACCCGGAGTATCTTCAGCCTTTTAATTATTACCTTCGGTCAGATCTACGCAGAATGTGCTTACTGTGTCTTGAAGTCTTGCATTGATATGCTTGGATTTAGTTTTAATTTCATTAATTACAGGATCCCAAGCAGGTAGTAGTACCCAGCCTCCTTCTCTACTGAAATCAGAATGTTTTTTTTTAATTTCAATAGTCTCACGTATCACCCTTGGTAGGAATCGTTATTCTTTCGCGAGCATTTTTGTGAGTTATCAAATCTGATTTAAGACCGTCTAAGATATGATCACAAAACAAACTGCAGCCTTCCCAGAGCGTTGTTGTTTCGCGTCAGCTATTATGTTATTTTATGCAGGTTTTATTGATCTTTTGTTTTCCCTATATAAAACAGACCACATGCATAACCAAGCTTGTACATTCCTGCACCTTGTAAAGGGATATTACACTTGACGGATAGTAAGAACTGACAATTGGAATGAAACCTAAGTGTTACGAATTTAACTGACTAATTTTCTTAGGCGGCATATAGAATTTTCTAATATAAGCTCACTTCAAGATGTAGCCAATATTTTCTGTAACTCCTCTGACATATGGTAGTACAGCAGTCACACGCTCGACTGTGGCCGGCTCCACGCGGTCACTGTGAAGTAGGCTACCATGGGCAAACCTTTGTTATATAGAGCACAAGGGATTGTAACAGCAAACATGCCGCTAAGCTTCAGCACGTTAAGCAGGTTTTGCACGACAACAAGTATCGGGTCCCGCGCCTACGTCAAAGTGACCGAGCCTTCAGAGCGCGTATTCTACTCGCACTTGTGCGATTTTTTTTATAATGTTAATTTTATAAGTTAATTTAAAGTTTAATTTTATGGTTATAATTTATAATTAATCCTGTTCTAATATCGTGTGTTACATTCATAACGGGTTTATAATACTTACAGTTTTTGTTTCAGGTAAAAGAATACAAAATGACAATTCAGAGCATGAATGTGACGGAAGCGCAAGACAGCACAAAACGATGCTGCAGGGGGTAAGTTATTCCAGTGTGCTCAACTTACTCTTTTCTTTTAACCCAACGTTCCATTATTTCTTATATCTCACTATGCGATATTATTTTTTAATTTTAACATCAGCTGAGGTTTGTACTAGGCATTTCTCGACTCAGTAATCAAATATGCCGACCAACACAATCGCGAAACCCACACATACAACCACTAATACTACAGTATAAGTGTGGGCGGCTATGATGAATCATTTATTACTAATGAAATCACGACGTAGATCTTCAAAAACCTAAATGATATATTATTTGATGCCTCGGGATCGCACTGAAGTTTCACCGGTTCGGATAAGGGTTCGAATCCTACACGGAACGAATTATTGTATGGCCCGCTATCTCTCTATCTATCCTTTCATCCATTACAGCACAGCAGAATAAAGGCGATCCCCAAAGTTTTCTTCATAGGGGGATTTGCCATCGTTTCCACGTTTGATAGGCGTAAGTTTCTTAATTTTAAGTTGTTGCAGGAAGATGCTGCTGCCCATGTCCTGTTTTTACACATGGTAGAGCCACGCTACAAGTATATTAGTTCTAGCACGAATGTGTAGCCTCGATCAGGGTAGGGCCACGCTCTCACAGCATACCAGCGCGAAATAGCAGCTTAAGGCTGCTGTGTTTCGTATGGTGAGAGGCAGGAGACCCTTTTTACTGGAAACGAGGCATTCCATCTTAGGCCTCGAGAGTGACAACGCATCTGTATTTTGATTGCATCCACATACCATCAGGTGGAATGTGTGCTCGTTTGTGGCCCACATTTTATAAAAAAAAAAGTTTCCCTCTGTCGCCTCTTACGACACCCCGGGGTCGATATTGGGTAGTAGATAATCTGAGAAGTCTTCCTAGCAGTTATTATTTCAGGTCCGAATGTTAGTCGATGTAAAATTAATGTATATAGGTACCTATACTATTGAGCTCTAAATATTTATTACCAAGCTTTGACAAAATACAAGTAAGCCTTTGTGTTAAAGGATTGCTCTGAATAAAATAAATCTACTGTAGTTGAGCTACGTAATTACGAAATTAATGTTACTTTACCGACAAGTGATAACGCATGTAATGAGTTACTGTATACTGCGATTTATTTAAATGGTGATGTTTAACAAGTGATAAAATTAAATATTTTGTACAACCGACTTCAATTTAAATTTTTATTGATAATTCACACTCACACACGAGAAGCACCAACTTTCAAATAAAATAAGAATCATCGAAGTCTGTGCACCTAGAAAAAAGTTATAAGGTAACACACATAAAAAAACATACAGTCGAATTGAGTAGGTACCGCCTCCTTTTAAAAAGTTGGTTAAAAAAACCTGAACTTCCATTTGTATTTGTTTATATAATTAACTAGCTGAGACGTTGCTCTGCCCTTTCCGACGACACTTCATATAAAAAATCTTTAAATTCGCAATAAAAATTTTTGAGCGTCATTTATCCGGATAAAAACTATCCTATCTCTCAAATTGGACCAAACTGCACAGAGTGTGCAAAATTTCATTGAAATCAGTTCAGTAGCTTAGGAGTTCATCGCGGGCAAACAACGTCACACGTGATTTTTAAATATAAAGATTAGATATACTTTAAGGCCTATTCACACAAGGAATAGAATCCTTGATTTTTTTTATTAACTAGAATGAAGAGTATTATTATATATTATATATTCATCGTCATCACCATCACAGCCCTTCAAAAGTCCCCTGTTGAACATAGGCCTCCCCAAGGACATCAGAAACAGGTACTTCTTCGACGGATAAATTACTAAGTGTAATTAGTAATAAGTAAGTGTAATTCCTATTCTGTCTATGACTAGGATAGTTTTTTTTTTTTTTTTTATACTTTTGTTACTACTACTTTTCTGCAGTACCCTTTTTTCTGTGATATTTTCGCTGTATAATTTAATATCTCTTTTTTTTTTATTTTTTTTTTTATTATTTTTTTTTATTTTTTTTTTGTTCTTTTTTTTGTTTTTTGTATATTTTTTTTTATTTTATTATTTTTTTTTTATTTTTAATTCCGTACTGCCGGGCTTTGTTTTTTTATATATATATATATATATATACGTGCGGCACATGTGCATGTACAATTACAATATCTTTATAACTACTTCATGTTAGTGAGGTCTTACTCTAACAATGGCTACTTATTTCATTTTCTACTTTATTATTTATTACTAACTGTATAATCTAATATATTATTCTATTTCTTTCTACTTATTTCTATATGACTAATATAATGCTATGTTGGTTACAATTTTGTTGCTTTTTATTACTACTTATTAAATTACGTTTGTTTTCTAAGCTAAATATTTATATGTTTATATATTATTCGGTACTTGTTAATTTTATATTACTATAGTGCTGTTATTTACAGGTTTCTTTCTTATCGAACTATTTATTACATTGCGTTTTCTATTCATATATATACATACATACACATACACACACACATACATATACATACATATACATATATATATATATATATATATGTACATACACACACATACACACACATATACACATACACACACACACATACACACATACATATATATATTCTTGGGTTCTTTCTATTTATAAGTATATAGTTACATTTATTTAGTTTAATCAACCTGTTTTTTTTTTCTCTTTTTTCTTATACATTAGTAAAATTGTATGTTTTTATCTATAAGTTATTAAATAATTAATCTATAATTTTACTACCATTTTCTTTACTTATGCTTTTTAATGCCAAAAGGGCAAACTTCATAAAGATAGGTCGGCAATAGTCATCTTCTATAATAAATTTTAAGTTTTCTGCTACTATCTCCTCCCCCATGCTGCACTCGGTCTCGAATCTTCTTTTCCCAAAACGTGGGCAATCAATGACAATGTGCTCTATAGTTTGGTCTGCATTTTCATCGCATATGCAGCATGGGGATGAGGATAATTTATACTTATACAAATAGGCTTTGTTTCCCCCATGACCGGTAAACAAGTGTGTAACTAAGTTATTCATTTTTATACTTTTTAATGTCTTATAGGCTTTAACAATATTTGGAAAGAACTTTTTCGTTATACTACTGGTTGTTGCTTGTTCGTACTTCCTTTGCCATATTTGCAGAGTCGTATTTCTGGTGAGGCGCTTTGCATACGACAATGGGAATTTATCATAAGCCGGGCTTTGCTTATTTTTTATAGCTGCCTGCTTAGCAAGTTCGTCTGCTCTTTCGTTGCCTTGTATTCCGCAGTGTGCTTTAATCCAATAAAGCTCGACTTGCTTTCGGTTGTCTTCTAAAGTCTTGATCATTGTTCGTATTTCTGATGCTATTGGATTAAGAGACACTGGGTCACAGATAGTGGTAATTGCCGATCTAGAGTCGCTAATTATATTTGCACCTGGATATTTTTTGCTTATTATATATTTTAGCGCTCTTTGTATTGCCATCATCTCCGCTTGGTAAATACTGCAGTAGCTCTCCAGCCTGAAAGTTATTGTTTTAATTTCGAGTCCATTGTGCCAAACTGTTACTGCTGCTCCCACTTTTCCGTCGATCTTGCTTCCATCGGTGAAGATTCTAACCCAGTCGTTTTTTATCTCGTCAATATCTTTCTGGTTATTTACGTGTTTGAAGTTACGTTGTATTCTTTCACAAGGATGTGGGAGATCATAGGGGCTTATTCTTGTTTCGATTTCTCTTCCTGGTAAAAGCTCTATAGGTTTGCCTCTCTTAATTTCATATATACTAGCGTTCTCTTTGGCTCTTAGTGCTAGCGGTATTATTTTTGATAAGAGTGTACTGGATATCAGGGAGTTAGTCTTATGTCCTTTACTAATTCGTATACCAAAAATCTGGGTCATTCTGTTGAGTATGCGTTCAATATACTTTTTGTTTGTTGTTTCGGCCCAGCAGCTGGCAGCATACAATATGGTTGGTTCTACGACTGCCATGTAGATTGTTCTCAATATATCTGAGTTCAGGCCCCAGTTAGCCCTCGCTGCTCTTGAGACCATTTTGTAAATATTAATAGCCTTGCGACAAACATTATCCAGATGGGGCTTAAAATTTATATTTTGGTCTATTGTTAAGCCCAGAACTTTCAGTTGATCCAAGTATTGTAATTCTACTTCTTCCATTTTTAGCAAAGGCCGATGAAATTTTTGTTTCCTTGTTATTAGCACCGACTGAGTTTTATGGGGAGCAAATCTTAATTTATGTTTTTTGCCCCATTCTGTTATTATTTTAAGAGTGTGGTTTAAGGTTATCTCTAGTTTTTGTCCGTCTTGGTTACTGGCGATAATCAAGATATCGTCTGCAAAGGCTTGTACATGGGCTTGTGTGTTCTCCGTTGTTTGCAATAATGGATCGAGTAGAGTATTCCAGAACATGGGTCCACATGTAGAGCCTTGGATGCAACCTCTATTTGTCGGTTTCTTAATTTCTTGTCCAGCGTACTTGAGGTGTATTTCTCTTTCCGACAAGTAGCTATATATTAAAAATATTTTTATTATATGATGTAACTAAAAATTTATGCTTTTCGCAATTTTTCCTTTATCTGTGCTATAATACGTTGTTTCGTACCAAATTTTAAGATTCTGAGTTCACGGGAAGTACCCTGTAGGTTTTGATTCCCTTGCGAATGTCGACAATTTGCGGCATAAACGGCTGTATCTTTTGATTGCGTTGGCTTAGAAGTTTGATTTTTTCACAACTCCAAGGGACTGTAGACTTGAATATTGGTTTGAATTTCAGCTTGATATCTTCACGCGTTCCTGAGAAAAAGGGTCTTGAAAGACAGACAGACGGACAACAAAATTGATCCTATAAAGGTTCTGTTTTTTCCTTTTGAGGTACGGAACCCTAAAATAAAATAAAAAAGGATACACGGCAGTCTTCATGTCTAAGGGGTATAAATGGAAACTTCGGTTCACGGTAACCGATTCAGCTACCTCAGCCTAAGCTGCTGATTACAGAACGTTATTCGACATAAACATATAGGGGGTTCGGCTTACATTTGGAGAAGTCGTTCAGGAAACTGTAATATAAAAGCGTGTTTGTCATATAAGCCGAACGCTTCGCCCCTCTGAATGCTATTTACTAAGGGCTTACTCTAAGGTCTGAGCACATAAACTTTAGTACAACGTATGGAAGGATCACTGCGTAAAAATAGTTAAAGAAATAGCGACTTTTGCCACGATGAAATTAAGTGAAATTCAGCTCGCATAGCGCTGTCTAATATTTTGTTCACCTTAGCCTTGATGCCTCTTTCTATCGACTCTTATCTCTGACGCGGCACGTGTAACATAGGGTAGTCTTATAACAGAATAAGAAAAGCAAGCGCGCGGCACGTAAGTAGGGGGATTACGTACATTCTATACCCTACCCCCAGCTCTAAGCTAGCAAATGTGGTCCCACTGATGTTGACGATTTGTAGCATCGTACATAAAGAGCGAAGCATGCCTAGCCTGGCCTGAGTGAAGAGCGTGCAGCGTGGCGTGTAGAGGCGCGTTTGGCGTATGCTTAGAGCAGCTACCACCCAAAACACTAAAAAAAAGAATGTGTTTTCATGCGCACCAAACACCCCGTGCCGCTGCATGTTCGTCACTCAGCGTTTACACTTAGTCGACTATTGACATCAGGAAATGTGAATGGGAATAAATTATTCCTGTTAATGAAATTAAAAGGAGAAAGTACTAACATTCTAATGATAAAACATAAAACAAGAATAAGACAACAATTAGAAAAATAAAAGTAAATAAATCTACGTCCTGTTTACATGAGCGTAACAGTTACGCTTACGTTTTTCATCAGTGTAAAAACGGTTAAACAATAGACGTCGCCTTTCAAATTTTAATCGCTGTCACAGATGAATAGGATTTTGCTAGTGTCAGGGGCAACTTAAGGCGTCGACTTGTAATCGACTGCAGTCGATACGCCAGCATCAAGACTTCGCGTCAGACGTCGGTTCTAGCTTTAAGGCATGAGCACAAAATAAATACACGACCCAATAACAAAATGGATTATGAAGATTAAACCAACTATTGATTTTATGTTGTTGACGCAAACGGAAAAGAAATCGATCATTGTGATGTTTTCTTATATTTACGCGAAAACTACACATTAAATGAAACTAATTTTTATTAACTAACTAAACTTTTATATGGTCCCCGGGGGGGGGGGGGGGGTCCCCGTGAGTGCTGTAAAGCACCCGAAACGTCGGGAATTAAAAAAGTTAAAATTACACGCGATATAATCCGTAAAAATTAGTTTCATTTAATCAATCATTGTGGATTGACGAGATATTGTCACAAAGAGAAGAAATTACCTAGGTTTTCACTTTTTACACATGTAAACGATATTATGTTTAAAAAACTATCTTTTTTAAAACTATGTAGCCATTGGAGGTCTAATATTTTGCTTAATTAATTAACAGTCCCTTCAAAGAATACAGACATATATTACAGCTTGGTTCTACCACGTAAAAGACAAATTCCACCCTTGCAATTAGTCCGCGGTGGTAACGTCGGCATGTTGACTGTTACCGTCGTTACTCACTATTTTCTACCGACTTCAAAAAGGAGACGGTACTTGATTCGACTGTATGTTTTTTTTATGTGTGTTACCTCATAACTTTTTACTGGGTGAACTGATTTCGATGATTCTTTTTTTATTTGAAAGCTGGTGCTTCGCATGTGGTCCCATATAAATTTGATCAACGTCTCGCCAATAGTTTTTGAGTTATTCTTAATAATTTATATTGAAGTCGGTTGTACAAAATTTATAATTTTACATTATTTTTAAACTTAAATGACAAAGGAACTTACAGTCCACGTGGTATGTGGCTACTTTTAGCCCGTGTACACCTGCAGTCCAGGTCTAACAAAGAAGGTTAAGGATGGTTGTACCTACACTTCTTATGCCTAAGATAATATGCCTCACGGCCTATAAATATACTGGCTCTTGATATCTTTTATACCGGAACATAGCAGTGGTAGGTTCCTAACTATCCTAGTCAGATTGAAGGGCCTGGACCTTAAAAACGTAAAGTCTCAACTGTCTGCTACAGATTGAGCCCAAACTCGGACCATTTGGGGCAAGGAACAGCGGAGCAACACTTAAAACAAAATTTAAGGCCGCCATATTGGAAATTTTTGCTCGCTTATTACTCAGGATCTGATTGTCCGATCAGAGTCGTGTTTGGGCTTAAACTCTTTGGCTAGAACTGAAGAGACCGAATTTGATCAAATCCTCAATAAAAAGTTTGAAAGTTTTGAACACCGGAAACGTGAACTTACAACTGCCTGCTACAGATTGAGCCCAAACTCGGACCATTTGGAGCAAGTAACAGTGGAGCAACACTTAAAATAAACTTTGGGACCGCCATATTGGAAATTTTTGCTCGTTAAGAACTCAGGAGTTGATTGTCCGATCAGAGTCGTGTTTGGACTTATACTCTTTGCCGAGACCTAAAGAGTCGGAATACGATCAAATTTTCAATAAAAAAAAAAATAATAAAATAAGAAAAAAAATTAAAGTTTTGGACATCGAAAACGATTTGAACTCACAACTGATCTGCATGGATAGAGCCTGAACCCGGACGATTAATAGTAAGCAACAGCTAAGCAGCACACAAAATAAACTTTAAGATCGCCTTATTGTAATTTTTGCTCGCTTATAACTCAGGACCGTCTGTCCTGTTGGGAATCACAGTTGATCACCACTCGCTGATTTTTTAGTTTGGCTATTTTGTTTACTCGTATTCCCAGTTCCACAGGATCAACATCCTTTTTTACTTGTTTTAAAATGTCTTCACATGTCGAGCGTGGATCAATGGATTCAACAATCATAGCATAACGAGGAGTACTAGTAACTTCTGCATAGGATTTTGTATTACTTTGGGTAGGTCTCCTCGCTGGCTCAGTCTGAATTGTTTGATTGTTTGCTTCTACTGTAGGAATATTGAACTTGTGGATATTTTGTAATTCATTAATCTTATCTTTAATTTCTGTAATCGCGAGTTCAGTTCCAAGTCCAGTATTCCCTTGGAATGCCATTTGTGTTGTATTACAGTCCTTTAGATCGCTTATTTCATTTAATACATTTTTTATCAAACTCGTGACAGGTTGGATTATGTTTTCTATATCTTCTTTTTGTGTCTCTTTCTTAGGTGTATTTGTGGATTTATAAGTTTGTATAATTTCTTTAGTCTCTTGGATATGTGCAATTATCTGTTCCAATCTTGGATCTGGCTGTGAAATGATATGCTCTGGGGTCGGTATTTTGATCTCCATGTCTGTATTTCTATTTGTTATTTTCTCTACCTCTTGACTAAGGTTAGTAATATTCCGATTTAATTCTGCTATTTTCGATAGGAGTAATGTGAAATTTTCTGTGCATATTTCAGAGTGGGCAGAAGGTTTTTCACTTATTGTTGTTGACTGCGTTTTGGTAATCAATCCGTGAACCTCCAATTGAATTTTACTTATCGCCTTTATTGGTTCGTCCATCTCGTAGCACAGCCATGTTCGTATCGCCTCAACGCCCTTACCTGTGCTTTTAATAGCCTCATAGGCCTCCACGACTTTACTAAATTGTAAATTTTGGATTTCAGTCAATTGTTTGTTATGGGCCCGTTCGATTCGTACTAGCTCCTTAGCAGCCCGAGATCTTTCTTGTTCCACCGCAAGCCGGTGTCTAGAGCGTGAGTCAGACAGCGACAGCACAGTCTCATACAAGCCTTGAAGACAGTCATGTACCTCGCTCTTACACTCCTTCTTCATATTTCCTGCTTTCTCTAGAGCTTCTTTACCGGAGAGCAGGAATTCATTCGCTCTTTGAGTTGCCAAGTCCATTGAGATGCCTGCTCTCCTGTATGCTGGTGGCAGTATGCTTGATCTTTTGCTCTTGTCACTGACTACACTATCGCCGTCAGACCACTCATCTTCGGTTTCCCTGACCCGCTTGCAGAGGCCCAACGCGCTCAATTCTTTGTCAATGTCCATCGTTATTGAACTGCCACCTTCTGAATCTAAGTCCTGTGGCGTTGGTACTGTTGGCTTGACAATGTCATCAATTTCCACATAGCTACATTTAGATGGAGCGATGCTGTCCGAACCATACCCTGGCTCACCAATTCCAGGACCTTTATTGTCTAGCTCTTCCTCAGCCGCTCTTCCAGAAGTAGCTGCATTTTGAATTAATACTTTCTTACGTAGTGCGACACTAGGTGTTGGGCTCACACCCCTACCTGTTTTTGAATATTTCGACTTCGCCGAGCTCGTACCAGACGATCCACTTTTGCATGACATGTTTTTTTTGTAAATTTGAATAGATCTGAACCCCTCAATTAAAAACAAAGAGTTTAAGTCCAAACACGACTCTGATCGGA